AGGACAAGCTAGGTGCGCTCGCGTCATATCTGACGTCCTACCCTCCCTCCCATCCCTTACCATGGCGCTGTTTTCCTGTATCCGCGGACGCGTGTCGTAGCGGACCTGTGGCTCCGCGCGCGCGTGCGTAGTGGGTGGTGGTGCGCGTGCGTGCGTGCGTGCGTGCGTGCGTGCGTGCGTGCGTGCGTGCGAGCGTGCGTGCGTGCGTGCGTGCGTGAGTGCGTGCGTGGTGCGTGGTGGGTGGTGGTGGTGGTGGTGGTGGTGGTGGTGGTGGTGGTGGTGGTGGTGGTGGTGGTGGTGGTGGTGGTGGTGGTGGTGGTGGTGGTGGTTGGTTGGTTGGTTGTTGTGGTGGTGGTGGTGGTGGTGGTGGTGGTGGTGGTGGTGGTGGTGGTGGTGGTGGTGGTGGTGGTGGTGGTGGTGGTGGTGGTGGTGGTGGTGGTGGTGGTGGTGGTGGTGGTGGTGGTGGTGGTGGTGGTGGTGGTGGTGGTGGTGGTGGTGGTGGTGGTGGTGGTGGTGATGGTGGTGGTGGTGGTGCTGGTGGTGGTGGTGGTGCTGGTGGTGGTGGTGGTGGTACTGGTGCTGGTGCTGGTGGTGGTGGTGGTGGTGGTGGTGGTGGTGGTGGTGGCGGTGCGGCGCGGTGGTGGCGGGCGGATGGGCGCGCGAGAAAAAGGCCCGCGCTGGGGCGAGAACGCCATCCTGAACGACGGAGGCCAAACACCGATCCGAAAATGAGGCCCACGCTGCAGCGGGAGCACGATTCGGAACGATTCGGGAGCAGAAATGAGGCCGGCGCCTCAACGAGAGCAGCATTTTGGGAAAAAATGACGCCGGCGCCTCAGCGAGAGTCGTTTCCCGGGATTTCCCGGGCATCCTGTGTGTAAAAAAACAGTACGCGGAGGGTGCGCGGCCATCACCCGGACGCCATCAGGGGAAGAGGGAGAGTATATTCATATTGAGTAATTGTGGAGGGAGGAGGCGGGGAGGGAGGAGGGAGGAGGGATGATAGGGAGCGGCTGCAGTGGGTAGGAGGGCGCCACGCCCGTCCTGCTGTTCTCCTCGTCCAGCTTGTCGATGCGGTCCTCGAGCTGCTCGAGCTCGATCCTCACCTCCTCCTCGCGCTCCCTCAGCCTCGACTCCTGCATGGAGCCAGAATCACATCGAGGTTCGAGGATCGAGCGATCAAGTTCTTAAAACTGAGTCGCGGGCCCCCTAAACGGAGTGAAAGCAAACTGACAGGCATGGTAAGCTCCGAATCTGTCCACCTAAGGACTAAGCAGCAAGAGAACAATGCGCTCGACAACCTTACACAACTGGGCGGTGAGCTGGATGCCTCTGCAGTTGTCAGGCTTGCTGAAGGCCCGTCTCTTGAGACGCCTTTGGTTCGTGTGGGTGCCTCCGGAGGCCTCCAGAGGCGCCTGTGGACTTCCAGGAATCTCCAGACGCCTCCACAAGGGCCTCCAGAGACCTTCAGGGACCCCGGGGGACCTCCGAGGGCCTCCAAGGGCCCGCGTATCCATGAGCCCGCGCCGAGGTGCCCAGACAGTGAGGGACGTGGGAATCCGATGGCATGACTCTCTCGGCGCACGGACCCGATGCAGACCTCTCCGCCCCTTCCCAACAGCGACACGCAAGAGGGATCCTTGGCAAGAGTGACCTTCGGTCCGAGGCAGAGGACCACAGGGGGCTCAAATCAAAGCACGGGGACCAGTGCCCCATGACCCTGAGGGCCCCCCTCAAGGGTCGCTCGGGCGAAGGGTCACTCTTACGCGCAGCCCCAGGGGCCAGCTCATCTTCCCGAGCCGTTCCTAACGAGTGGTCCTGGAGCCGAAGCGCGGCCACCACCCCCCAGAGGCCAAAAGTGGCGACAGGACTCCACACGGCCTCGTCAAGGCTTTGGGGATTTCGCTGCTCCCATCCGCGGTGATCGCTGTAACCTGCAACTTGCAACCCACTTGCAAGGCGCCTGCAAGCGGGTTGCAAGTCCGCCTCGCTGCTCCAAGTTGGGTCCGAGACTTACTCAGACTTACTTGGAGCAGGTAGGCAAAGTAACAACCCACTTGCACGAGCCTTGCAAGTGGGTTGCAACCACCTTGTGACTCTCGCAAGTGTTGCAAGTCGAACCGATCGCTACAGCTGGCTTGGCTCAGGAGGCCCAGAAGCGAATATGCATCCCGAGCCCCGGCCCCCGGGGAATACCTCCTGACCTCTCGACCCCCTCTTGCCACGGCGAGAACCCATTCGATGAACCAGAGGCTGGGCATAAAGGAGAAAACAACGAAGGATGCGATAGCGAAGCCCGCCAGCACTCCGCTGCCCCAACTAGGGGCCACGGCAGGACCGGCGCGTCCTCCCTACGTAATTTGCTCACGGCCCCGGGAGCCCGAAAACGGCCCAAACAAACGCCAAGAGAGCTCAAACATCTCCCGTCTTGCTGCTTTCGAGACCTTGCAGGTCTGGGTGCGGCGATCATGCCCTGCTATCCCCTGGCCCCCTTACAAGGCCACCAGGCTGCGAAATTTGAACTTCAGCAACAGATGCCAGTCCTGGGCTCCTAGGTCCAAGTCGCAGTTACAGTGCAGATTCCAGTTTCCAGGCTCCAATGTTTGTTATTGAACGCGCGAGAGGGGGAACATCGAAAACCACCCTGGCCACCACGGCATCCCGGGGTTCTTCGACTGCCCCGGGGGCCCTGGGGCATGTGAAAATACATGAGAGTCGCGCCCCCGGGGCCATACTTCTTGCAAGTAACGCCAGGTTCCTGCTCCCGAAACCAGAACCCCTCGTAAATTACGCCAGGTTCGCGTGGCCGCGGCCAGATTCCCAAGCACATTATTTTAGATTCGAGCTCGCAAGGCCACAATTCCTTTTGAATTGCGCTAGCTTCAAGCTCCCGAATCCAGCATCCCTTGCACATTGCGCTAGATCCGCGCTCGCCGAGGCAACGAAGCCCTTGTAAATAACGGCAGGTTGGAGCTCCCTGGGCCAGAGTCCTTTGCAACCTACACCAGATTCGCGCTCCCGAAGACACGATCCCCCGTACACTGCGCCAGAATCGCACTTCCGAGGAGGCCCCGATCACCGGTAACTTACGCCAGACTCGCGCTCCGAGACGGCAACAAAGCGTTCAACGACAACATCAACATCTCACGATGCTTGCTGAATGTCAATCGCCCTCACATGATGCCCCCAGAAGTCTTCAAAACAGCGCCAGCACGTCCAGGCATAACCCTGACATCTCCCATTTTGTCAGAGGGCGGCGGCGGCGGAGGGCGAAGCCCTTACGAATAACGACGTCCTATGACTGCGCGCTCGGTGCAGGCACGGTCTCTTGCAGCGGCGGCGTTCCCCGCCTCCCCGCCAGGGCTCCTTCTGTGACGCTTTGCTGAGCTCCTCGACCTTGGCCTTGAGCAGGTTCAGCTCTTTGGAGGAGGCCGCGTCCACCGTTCGGATCGCCTCCTGGAGGGGAGGGGGAGGAGGGGGTGGCAGGAGGAGGAGGAGGAGGAGGAGGAGGAGGAGGAGGAGGACGACGACGACGACGAGGACTATGGGAAGGAGGACGAGGAGGAGCAGGAGGAAGAGGAAAAAGAGAAGAAAGGAGGACCTAGACCTGTGGCGGCTCGAACACATCGCGCCGAAGCTGTTGTTGTTTTCATTCTCGGCGTCTCGAGGCAGTTTCCGAGGCCCCCAGGCCGCCCACGAACGACTCCAGATCAGAAACTCGGCCAAGAGAAGAGCTCTGGCCGAGTTTCTGAACAATCGTGACATCTGAGGAGGAAGGGGAGTAGCACGAGGAGGGGGAGGGTCCAGAGTCAAGGTTTTTGGGGGCGGGGGGGCGCGGGCATCGAGGATTTTAGCCTTTGGCAACGTCTCGGCCTCCAGAGGGTGAGAAGAAGGATGAGGAGGATGAGGGGGAAGAGGAGGAGGTCCTGGTACTGGGCAGTCATGTCGCCACCCACATCCATCGCCTTCCTGGCCAGCTCGTCTCCCCTGATCTCGATGTCGTCCTGCAGCAGGTGGCGGTCTCGCCTCTCGTGCTCCTCTTCCTCATCCTTCTGCCCAATGCCTGGCTACACTGAGCACGATCCTGTTCTTGCTGTAAAGATCATGTGTGTGTGTTCCTCCTCCTCCTCATCCTGTTCCTCCTCCTCCGCATCATCAACATCATAAGCATCATCATCATCAGCATCATCATCATCATCATCATCAGCAGCAGCATCATCATCCTCATCCTCATCCTCATCCTCATCATCATCCTCATCCTCATCCTCATCCCCATCCATCCTAATCCTCATACCCCTCCTCCTCCTGCTCATGACTCGGCATCCAGTCTGCGGAACCAGCTGGAGGCTCGGGAACTCTCCAGATGTCCCCGGAGGCCACCGGAGCACCAACAAGGGCAGTCACACAAAACTTAACTCCATCTCCACCTCATGTGTCTCCTCCTCCTCCTCCTCTTCCTCCTCCTCCTCATATTCCTCACCACTTTCACTACCCACATCATCATCATCATCATCATCATCATCATCATCAGCATCATCATCATCATCATCATCAACATCATCAGCATCATCATCATCATCAGCAGCATCAGCATCATCATCAACATCATCATCAGAATCTTCATCATCACCATGACCATCATCATCAGAATCATCATTATCATCAGAATCACCATCATGATCAGCATCATCAGCATCATCCACAACAGAATCATCATCCTCATCATTATCATCGTCAGCATCGCCACCAGCATCAGCATCATCATCATCATCATCAGCATCATCATCATCGCCACCACCAACACCACCCACCATCACCATCATCATCATCATCATCATCAGCAGCAGCAGCAGCATCATCCTCATCATCCTCATGAACAGCATCCTCATCATCATCATCATCAACAACATCATCATCAGCAACAGCATCATCATCCCGTCACCATCATCAACCATCAGCAATTATCATCACCACCAGCATCATCAGCTGCATCATTATCAGAATCATCATCGGCATCATCATCATCGCCATCGTCATCGTCATCGTCATTGCCATCATCATCATAATCAGCAGAATCAGCATCATCATCATCATCATCATCCTCATCGTCATCGTCATCGTCATCGTCATCGTCATCGTCAGCATCATCATCACCATCGTCGTCATCATCGTCATCATCCTCGCCATGTTCATCATCATCACCACCACCACCATCAGGATCTCGTCAACAACACCACCCACAACATCATCATCATCAGAACCATAATCAATCATCATTATTATCATCGTCATCAGTATCATCAGCATCACCGTCATCATCAGCAGCAGCATCATCTTCATCATCATCACCACCATCATCATCAGCAGCATCATCATCATGATCATCATCATCACTCATCATTATCATCATCAGCATCATCATCAGTATCAGCAGCAGCAGCATCTACATCATCGTCATCACCATCACCATCATCATCATCATGATCATCAACATCATCATCATCAGCATCCTCATCATCATCTCCTTCTCCACGACCACCATCGGGCAAGACTGATGTTTCTGCCGCAGCCGGGCCGCAGCATTGCGAGGGCAAGCTGAATGGGTACACTAGGGTACGTTTCAGACTCGGCTGGACATGGTGGAAGAAGCAGGCACGCCAAGGACGAGTGAGACCCTAGGCGGCGCCCACTCGCAGTCTAACAAAAAAAAAACATTCTCGTTTGACATCTTTGAATATTTCCTCAGAGCTGGAAATGGTCCTCAGGGGGACGCACCCTGTGTCGTACCGGGCAGGGGGTGTGATTCAAGGGGGGAAGGCATTTCCCTAGCATCAGCGCAACAAGGATTTGATTGAGTGGTCATCACCCTCTTAATCGTCATCATCACCACCCCGACCACCGTCATCAGCATTATCACCAGCATCATCATCATGAGCATCATCGTGAGCACCATCATCATCATAATAATCATCGTCAGCAGCATCGTCCTCATTATCGTCACCAGCATCACGATTGTTACCATACCATCGCCATGGCCATCACAGCATGACAAATGCCATCACCCTCACCACCATCCTTAGTGTTTCATCCTCCTCCTCCTACTATTCCTCCTCCTCATCATCTCCATCATCCTTCTCTTCCTCCTCCTCCTCATCCTCCTCGCCCTCCTCCTCCTCCTCCAACCCCTTTCCTCCTTATCCTCCGCCTCATCCCCCTCCATCTTCGTCATCTTACGATGCGCCGCATGCTGTGTCAGGATGGTCCTCGCAGCCTCTCCCCTCTCGAGTGCCCTGTGCAGCCTGGGAGGACAAAACGAACAACTGCGGGCCGCCTGCGGCCGATCAACTAGGGCACTGCCCAGAGGGCGACGGAGAAGACTCTCATCGGGGACGGTCCGGAAGGAGGGACGCAAAGAAGCGGGAAGGGACGGATGGAGCGGGGAAGGCGCCAACGATACCGAGGCCCCACACACACAGGTCGCGGCCTCGCGCGCAGTGTCGAGGCGGAGAAAGTCAAGTGCAGCGGCCAGTGCCCTGCGCGCGCCAGGCTCAGAGGGGGCAGCGCCACATGCCATGCGGGCGAGGACGGCGGTGAGAAAAGAAGGACGCAACGATCACCGGCAGGGAAAGGGACCAGCACGTGACACGAAGCAAGCGACACGGGCGGCACGACAAGCGACACGACGGGAGGACGATCGACCAGCGCGCACTCAGCGAGTGAACGAGTAACAGGGGAAACGACGGAGGGGACGCGGCAGGAGATGGCAAAATGCCATGGAGGACGCTCAGCGTCTGTCGGGACGTGTGGCTCCCGTGAGATCGCGAGAGCTCGCGGGGGGACCCTCTTCTGGGACGCGGCCGCGTCAGAGACCCCGCCTGGGGCAGCAGAGGACACCTCCCTGTCCTGGTAGCATCCCTGAGGACGACGTCGAGCAGAGAGCGTATGAAGAGGCTGAGCTGGTAGGCAGAGAAGGCATGGGGTTCGAAAGACGTGGGAGCCTGGGAAGTATCGGCTAACCTTTGAGATTAGGTGTCGCTCGCCGCCCACCCACACGCCTCGGAAAGTCAACCGGGGCCCAACATGTCCAAAAACGATCAACAACAACGACGACAACGACGACGGCAACAACCACGACCACACGACCACGACCACAACCACGACCACGAACTTGACCACGACCACCACGACCACCACGACCACCACGACCACCACGACCACCACGACGACCACGACGGAGACTCGACAATGACAGAAAAACAGAATATCGATCGTCGACCCTCAGTGCTCAGACGTCGCCGAAGCACCCAGACCAAACGAGCTCCTCCAGCTGCTGGCGGTCGAGCTCGGCGTCCAGCAGGCGCTCCTGGGCCAGCATGCGCGAGAGCACCATGGCCTGCAGCTGATCCTCCAGGTCCTCGGGGCAGCTGCAGGGTCGTCGCCGTCGCCGCCGACATCTGCTAATCGAGCCCCAAGTCGGAAGAGCCCGCAATCAGAAGAGCTCCCGATCGAAGAGACCCCATTCGGAAGAGATCCTGGTCCACTCGGGCCAGAGGGTCCACGATTCGGGGTTCGAGGCTCTTGCTCGGTTGCGGCCTCGCCTCGGGCCACGGGGCCACCAGAAGAAACCATCGTCGTCGTCTATCGAGGACCGCAGCTGATTTAGAAGTGTGTTGTGCCTTCCGCGGGCCTGCGTGGGCCTCCGGAGGCCTGGGGGGACTTCCTAAGACCCCTGGAGAGCTCAGAGTCGCTCTCAGCAGCAGCGGCCGCAGCATCGGCGACCAAAATCAGGCATCATATTCTTCACGATCGCCACCAGTGTCAACAGGTTCATCACATCAATCGGCCATGTTCATCGTCACCATCATGATCATCAGCAGCAGCATCAGCACAGGCATGGTCATCGCCATTACCATTCTAACATCATCAACAGCCACATCATCACTATCGACATCATTACCATTATCATCACCATCATCATTTTCACCATAATAGCCATAATCATTATCAGATTCATCATCGTCATCATCATCATCGTCGTCATCATCATCAGCATCACCATCATAATCATCAGCTTCGGCATCGCCAGCCTCATCATCAGCATCATCACCAGCAACAGCATGACAATAATCATCAACATCGTCATCATCATCACCACCGGAATCATCATCATCAGCATCATGATCAGCATCGTCATCATCATCAGCAACATCAGCATCATCATCGTCATCGTCATCGACACCGTCATCATCATCAGTATTAGCACCATCATCAACAACATAACAATCATCATCGTCATCATCATCATCACCGCCGTCGTCGTCATCATCAAGATCAGCATCATCACAATCTTCACGACCGCACCCTTCATCAGATCAATTGATCATGTTTCCCGTCACCATCATGATCATCAGCATCAGCATCAGCACCCGCATGGTCATCGCCATCACCATCCTAACTCAACAGCGACATCATCACTACCGACATCATTATCATCATCATCGTCGTCACCATCATGATCATCAACATCGGCATCGCAGCATCATCATCAGCAGCAGCATCGCAATCATCATCGTCACCATCAGCATCATCGTCATCATCATGAGCAGCATCGTCATCATCATCATCATCATCAGAAGCAACAGCAACATCATCGTCATCGCTATCGTCATCGACATCGTCATCGACATCGTCATCATCATCAGTATCACCATCATCATCAGCATCAGCGTCATCATAAGCATCATCATCAACATCATCATCGTCATCATCACCGCCGGCATCATCATCAACATCATCATCACTACCGTCATCGAGGTCGTCATCGTCATCGTCATTCTCATCATGACCATCATCATCAACACCAACATAACATCATCATCGTCATCATCAACCGTACCCCTGACTTCCAATCATGTCTCCTCCCCCTCCTGAACCCCCCTTGTGCCCCCCCCTCCCCCGCTCCCCCCTCCACTAATCCGTTCCTTCCTCCGTTTCCAAAGTATCCTCCTTCCCGAACCCGGGGTCTGGAACTCTGCGTCCATTTCCTCATCATGATGCTCCTCATCATCCGCAGCCGTACATCGCCATCTCATCATCATCAAGATCATGGTCATGTTCGTTATCATCATCAGAAGCGACCACATCATCATCATCATAATCATCGTTCAGGCGTCATCGTCATCATCATCGCCATCATCAGCGTCATCAGCAGCGTCACCACGATCACCTTCATCATCCTCATCATCACCATCAACACCACAGCCACCACCACCATCATCATCATCGCCATCACCCCAATCCTCGTATTCCTCACCACCGCCGTCATCATCACCATCACCATCGCCATCACCATCATCATCATCAGCATCATCATCGCCGTCAGCATTATCACCATCATCATCAACATCGTCATCGTTATGAACATCATCATCATCACCACCGCCGTTGTCGCCATCGTCGTCGCCATCCACACCACCACCATCATCATCGTCACCATCGCCACCCTCATCATCATCGTCATCATCACCACCACCACCATCATCATAATCATCATCATCACATCATTACCTGCATCAGCATCATTCATCTCCCCCTTCTCATCGTCCAGTTCATCATTCTCCTCATCCCCCACCACCTCCTCCTCATCCTGCTCCTCATCAGTATCGTCATCATCATCAGCATCACCATCATCGTCATCATTATCAGAATCATCAGCATCATCATCATCATCACCATCAGCATCATCATTACCATCATCCTCATCACCATCGCCATCATCAGCAGCAGCAGCATCAGCATCAGCACCAGCACCAGCATCATCATTATCATCATCAACATCATCATCAGCAGCATCATCATACCCTTTATCATCGTCCGCCCATTCCCCGCGCGTTGGGAAGAAGGAAGAACAGCGAGGGGGAGAAGTAAAGGGGAAGGAGAGTGGAGGAGGGAGGCAGGAGGGAGGGAGGAGGGAGGTAGGAGGAGAGAGGCAGGAGGCACAAGGAGAAGAAGGATCAGGAACACAGGAGGATCAGGAGGCAGGAGCGGGCGAAGGAGGAGAAGGACGGGTCGAGGGGAGAGATGGGAGTACGGAGGAGGGAAAGGAGGCGAAAGGGGGCGGGAACAGCCGGGGGTGAAGAAATGGGGGAGGGGGGGCCACGAAGAAAGGGGCGGGGGGCGCGCATGGAGGCGAGGCACGGGGGAGGGGACGGGCCGAGAGGGAGGAAAAGGGGGAGGACACGGGGGAGGCGAGCAGAAAGGCAGGGGGGGGACGAGGCCTTCTCCACCTCGGCGTCGTCGAGGACGGCGTCCACCTCGAGCGAGGCCAAGGGTGACGTCGGTGGGAGTTGCAGCTTGCCCTCGGGGCCAGGAGGGGCAGGGGGGCGGGCGGGCCACCGGGCGGGGAGGGAGAGGGGGGGGAGGAGGAGTGGAAGAAGGGGGAGGAGGGGGAGGAGGAGGAGGAGGAGGAGGAGGAGGAAAAGGAGGAGGAGGAAAAGGAGGAGGAGGAAGAGCCTCCTCGTCCTCTTCCCTCTTGTCCTCTCTGTTGTTTCACCTGCGCTGCTCGTTTCTAGTATATATTTGCTCGTTTATCCCAGCCATGTGCGCGAGGGCCTTGATGCATTACCACGAGTGAGGTCTCTTCTAGCAGTATCCTGCGTGCTGCCGAGATTGATAGTGGCTGCTTATCATCAGGTTTGCTCGTGCTTGCGTTTGCATTGTACAGATTGAGCGAAAGTAAACTGAGCACAATTCGTTCAGTTCTCGTCTGCATTGTTCCCCGCGGTCATTGCGGCTCAGACAACAGCTCAGGGAAATTGTCAAAACAAGCTTTCAGGTTGGTGATATGGTAGGTCCTGCTCCCAACCCTTAATCCACCACATACTTGTATGTACCTCATCCGCGTACTGTACATCCCTTGCTTCTTCTTTCCGTTCCCCACATTTCTCACCATGAATGCGAATATGAATTCATTTGTTCCTCGTCCTCCGGCGCAGTTTGGCAATCAGCACTTTGGTGGACAGCAATTTGGTGGACAGCAGTTTCCGAATTTCGGTCGTGGGTCTCCACTGGGTTATCCCATGCAATCGGCCACGATGCCTCCCTCCATTCGCCCGGCTCCAATGCGAGTCTACGAGAGCCAAGTCACCTATCTCTGCCAAAACCTCGAGGATATACACGGGCGCCTTCTTCCTTTGTATATGGACAATCCGTCTCGTTTTGACGTGGTTTCGATTGCAACGAGTTTTCCTGTATTAAAAAACTATATGAACAAGAGAAGGCACTTCCTATTTCTGTCAAAGCGAATGAAGATTGGTCGAAATCTTTACAACGTGCGCAAGACATCGCCAAGCTCGTGCCTATGAATGTGGCAGACGTCAAGTGGGGGTAAATTCTGATCGGTGCTCGTGCAAGCCATGAGAAATTGGATAGACCCGTTTCAGAATCGGCTGGTGATTTCCTCTCTCGCAGACGCTCTGAAGATGAAGCCCGTCGTTTTCGGCACCATCCGTATCCAGGCGCTACGTCGGCACCCCGCCCTCGAGGTGGTTTGTCCCAGCGATTGTTCGGCACGAGCACGGACGAAGAGATGGGAGATGCCACGGATAGGCCAAAGGAGAAACTTCTGCCAAAAGATTACTTTGGATTGAGGGTTTCTCAGAATCGTGACTCAGAGCAGATGAAAGGGGTGTTTGCTATTAAATACTTTGCAAATGAACCGCATTTCAAGATCCATGGGGATGATGATGAAACTCAGACGATTCATGATAGACGGGAGATTTCGTCAATGTATTTTCCCGATACTCCAGAAAGGTTCAACATGGCGTCCCCCAATCCGCGCCCACGCCGCCGCCCCAGGAACGATGCAGCTGTAAAGCTTCCCTTAGCTAGTTGCTGGAAGCTTAAGAGTGCTAACTTGTAGAGCTTCCCTAGGCTAGTTGCTGGGAGCTTAAGAATAATTCCCGGAGAGCTCCCTGAGAGCTATAGGGTTTCAGATTAGAAGCCGGATGGTGGTGGTGCCTGCCAGCAGCTCCTCCACGGCGCTCCAGAATCCCCGCAGTGACCTGTGCCTCTTAGAGCTCTTCGGCAAGATGAGCTAAGAGGAATTCGGGCGCAGGGTGGAGCTAGTTGGGAGACCCGACCTCAAGAGAGAATGTGGTGACTTTGGGTCGGTTTTGCTGAGATTTCCAAGACATTTGACAATTTATTTTGAGAAACCATATTTTTCGCACGTCTAGTGGGTTATGCCGCGTCTGTCAGGTCAATTCTTCTCAGGTCTGTAGCTGCAATATTATTATGAAAACACTTGAGGGAACCGACTTTCGGAAATAACTGAAAAGCGTAATTTCTCGAGTTTCTTGGCTCATTCTTGAGAAAGCTTCTTTATGTGTTCCGATCAGCGCCGCACGATAAGAGAGCCCTACGAGGCTTCCGGCGGTAACCTGGTTGACCGTTTTTCCGTCGGATTCCAGTTTGAGCCAGCAGCTGGTCCAGGAGCGCTTCCGGCACGCTTGGACGCGTGCAGGCGCGCTCTGACTAAGCCCTGTCAGACGCACTGAAAGCAGGCCCCCCCATCGGAAACTAGAGCATCTTGAACACTCGAGCGCGGCTCCTCGTGCATGGCGTCCCCATCATTATTGCAAAGTTTTCTTTTCTCAGATACCCTGCAAAGCGGCAGCGAACGCACTCCCTTGTTCCCATTCGCCGCGTCGACAGAGCGCACAGCGAAGCCACAGAAACACGCCGACTGGCCTCATCCGCCTTTGCCACCGAAGAGGCTGGCAAAACACCGGCTTCGGCGAACAGGATGCCGCCACGCCCCCCGGGCGCTCGCACGCTCCGCCCGCAGGCCCAGCTGTCCTCGAAGCGGCCCCCGCGCTCGGCGGCGCGCCCCAGTGGCCTCTGGAGGCGACGGAGCCCCGAGTGGCAACCGGGTCGCATCGGGCCACGGACTCGTCGCGCCCCCCCCCCGTCGCCTCTCCACCTCGCCCAGGGACTGGTGGCCAGGCTCCGGAGGCCCGGTCGATGCCGCTCCCCGAGTGGCGCGTCTGGCAGGACGCCAGCCCTTCGAGCCTCAGGATCATCGCCGCCTCTCGAAACTTCGCGACGCACCTGCTGCATGCAGGTGAAGGCCAGGACGCTGCCGTCGGCCAGCCGCAGCCTTAACGTCTCGAGTGCTCGGCTGCGCCAACTTAACCACCCTCTGTCTGCCGCCAGCGGCAAGTCGTGCTCGCCCATCTTGCTCGGCAATGGCTGCTCCTCTGGGTTGGTCAGCAACGTCCGACATGCATTTTCCGATCGGTGAAGTGACTGAAGGATACCTGGGGCCACGGCCTGTAGGCTCAGAGGCTCAGCGGCACGAAGAGCCTCAACTGCGCCTGCCCAGACAGCACCAGACAAATGCACCGCGCACTCCGCATGCCAAGGCTCTGGTCGCCGGGGGCGAGGCTGAGGCTCGGAAGACAAAGGCTTCGCGACCCGCGCAGGATCCGTCAACTCCGAGGCAGATGTCGATCCCCGAAGCGACTGCACGGCGGAACCTGCTGCGTGATCGCCACGAGGACCCCGAGCCCTTGCTCGGCTGCTCCCCCTGGAAGCAGCGGCGCCTCGGGGGTCGGGCGCGTCGAGCCCTCCAAGGCATCCCGAGTGCCGATGCAGCCGCCACCTGCCGCCCCACGGGGCTTTGCGTATACTGGGAGACCTGGCGTGGGCTGTTGCGTGGTATACGCTACGGCGCCCGATGGGCCGCAGCGCTACATGGAGGGCCGTAGGTGGGGTGGTGTCATGTGCCTTGTTGGTCGACGAAGGCGGCACCCTCCAGCTGGCATAGGAAGGCACCAACTATACACCAACACCGACCCTGGCCAGGATCACCCTGGGCCCAGGATTGGTGAATGCACCCTCCTGCCGTGGGCATAATGCATGTACACCGATCCTGGGCCCAAGATCGGCCCAGCCAGGATCGGTGTACGTGCTCAGTTGGTGCCCTCCGACGGCAGTCGCGAGCAACTCGAGCGGTCACCGCACCCCGCTCCAGCGGAGTGCTCCCACGCTCGCTGGCCTCCAGACTCTCGCCCAGGGAGCTCAGCGGCGTCGCTGGCGCCGCGCCTGCACGAGACGCGGCCGGCCTCCCGCTCGTACTCACTGTCGAAGGTGCCGCTCGCCGCAGTGGTCCGCGTCTGCCGCACGGCGGCGTCGGCGATTCCTGCTCCTCAAGCCCCCCATCCAAGCCCTCTCCCCCCAGGGCCCCTCCTGGACCCATCATGCTCCTCCAGCCCCCTCATGGGCCGCGTCGGAGTCCTGATGCGACGATCGTTGCACCTTCTCCTGGGGGGGTCTGTCTCGCGTGGGGCTGTCGAGGATCCCCTCAAGTTGCACGAGTTGTCATTCTTGTGGACAGTCTTGAGGAATGTCCTGGCCACCTTCAGCTATCGTGAATCAGCCTTGGACCTCTCGGACGCATGCTGGGAAGGCTGTCTGAGGGCCATGTCGCGGCCCAGTTGGGGCCGTCTCGGCGCCATGTGTGAGACGTCCTGAGACCCTCCTGGCCATCTTGGGCTCCTCCTAGGAACAAGGAACGGCGACACCAACACCACCAGGGCGAGGAGGTGCGAAGAGGCAAGGGGGGTATCCTCGGTGGTGTGGCCCCCCCCTCTCGCTCGAGACATCCCCAGCCTCCAGCTCGGGAAGGCATCGTAGACCTCCTCGCTGGAGGTTGGCCCCCTGGTGGTGTCGGTGTCGCTTCTCCTCCCTCCGACCTCTGGGCCGTCTTGAGCACATCCTCGGGCCGCACGCGGCTCGCTGTGGGCAGCCTCGGCTCTTGGGCTCTGCCTTGGAGCTCCTCTGGACCGTCTGTGGCCGGTGTTGGATGCCTCTCGGGCCGTCTTGGACGAAGGAATGTACGGAAATCGTCGAAACACGTTGCAAATCAATGTGCTGTGCCTCTCGAGGCCCTCTCACGGGCGCTTTTGTCGAAGGCGCCCTTGTGGTCCTTGCGGTCTCTTCGAGCCGTCAAGGGGCATCCGGGAGCCCCTTGGGCCATCTACAGAGCCCCCCGGGGATTTTCGGAAAGTGGGCCCCCCTGGGGCCCGGGGGGCTGGTCGCTCTCTCTCTCTCTCTCTCTCTCTCTCTCTATCCATCTCTATCTCTCTCATTATTTCGTTATTTCATTATGCTTTTTTGTTGTTTTTTCTCTCTCTCTCTCTCTCTCTCTCTACCTCTAGATATCCGCCACCGTGCCTCTGGGCACGGAGTGGGCGTGTCCTCGGGTCCTTTGCCCAATCCCTGGAGCCTCAGTCCTCAGTCCTGAGGAGTTTAAGGGACCCAGAACCTAGTTTCAGAACCGAATTTCTCAGCCTCG